TTGGCGAGAGCTTGCTACGCGGATGCCGATGTTTACCTGTTGGACGACCCGTTGGCGGCGGTGGACGCGCACGTTGCGAACCACTTGCTGACTCACGTTATCGGTCGTCGGGGTTTGTTGGCAGGTAAGACAAGGATCATTGCAACGCACCATCCCGGTGCCATCGCCGAGTCGGACCAAGTTGCTTTGCTTGTCGGTGGCCGCCTCGTGGAATACGGCACGTACTCAAAGCTGATAGCTAAGAAGAACAGTCAGCTAAATATATTCCTGCGAAGCAAGGAGCTGCGCAAACGACTCCTCTCCGACCAAGTGGACAGTGAGCAGGTGCCGAATAGGTCGTTGGAGTGGTCACTCACGAGCCTCAGAAAGCGATCATGCTCTGAATCCTATCCAACAGCGCATAACGCCATTCCAGGAGATTACGCTGAGTGTATGTTCCAAATGCACTGCATCTTATTTCACCAAGAGTTGCTAAATCCAAATCGAAGCAGTGACCATTTGCATATTGGCCTCAATCGCTATTGATTAATTTCAAACCTTTAGTGTGTTGTCTTTGATCTAGGCGTGGACGTTGGAAGTTACTTTTGGCTCCTATTTCTTTCCCCTCTAGCATTATTGCAGGAGGATCAGGCATGGCACGCGGAACACGAGCAAGACGACACGGTTTCCGTCCACAGCAGACCCGACTCCCCCGAGTTTGACATCATTCGATTGAGGAGCATTACGGTTAAGGTTGGTCCTCATGTGTGATATTTTCCATTTGTTGCTGACTCACGTGCATCTAACTTTCACCTACGTGGCAGCTAGTAACAATAACTGCCCCTGACGGTTGCCATGGCTCGACATAGTTTGCACAGGTTAAGTCTTGAGGGAAAACCGTGAGTGGAGACAGCCCGTGTTATTGCTAACTCACCAGACCGAGTTGTGAGTTGTGTTTTGGATATGGGATAAATTGTGGTGTTAAGCCAAATCGAATTACCACTGTGCTGTAGGGCAGCCACTCTTGGACGCATTATTCGACAGTTTCGACGTCTTGAGACGTTTTGCATGCCGAATAGGGTGGCTGTCGACAAGAGTAGATGCAACGCCCTAAGCTTTGCGTGCTTAGTCTTCCGTGCCCCAACTAGGTGTACACCCGTTTCAAGAGAGACGTGCAAGATTGCATCTCCACAAGTGACACCATAGCATGGCGCTGCCCCCCACATTCACAGTGTCTCTTGGCTGGAATCGTCCATCCCAAACTCCACTTTTGTCGGAATCGTGGGAAGGCAAAATCGATTTGTGACTCTACATGTAGACGGTAAATGCACGAGCTTAGAGTCGCCAAGTGTGAATTGACGTGGTGCTGTGGCGGTGGATTTCGCCCTTTTTTTCCTCTTTTTTTAGGAGGCGAAAAGGAGCGACGCAAAGGCAGATATTCCCTACAAATCGGTGGAGGAAGGTGGGCAGGACCAATCCAGGAACAAGCCGAAGAAGACCCTGGAGGAGACCAGCGCCACCGGACGAGTAAGGTTATGGCAGTTGTATCCACGTGCTGCTTCGCGATCAGACATTTCAGGCATCTGGTCTACTTGTAGCTTGTTGGCGTGTGTATCCGAGTTGGTAGCCACTGCCAGTCTAAATCAATAAATTTCTGATAGTTACAAGACGCGATTTGAGGCTCGGCTTAAGAAGCGACCTGTTTTTTTTGTCTCGTGACCTAGGTCAAGTTCGCGGTCTTTTGGATTTACATCCGCAGCATTGGAATAGGTATTCTTCTGGCTGGTGTATTCTTGCTTCTGATGAACCAAATCGCGTGGCTTGGTAGCAACATCTGGCTGGCCGAGTGGTCTGGCGACTCCGCAAGGAATAAGAACCTCACCGACTCGGCCAATGCCACCGGTACCATGGATGGCCAAAGCTACAGAGACGAGGTGGCCAGAATGAATAGTCTGAGGAATCTGCGTTTGGGCATCTACGGTTTGATTGGTCTGGCCCAAGGTGAGCCGCACGTTGGTAGCCAATGCCTATGACGATGACTGGCCATGACCAACATTGTTTTCCACTTCTGTTGGCTCAACGAAGGTGCTCCATTATGCAAGCGTGTCTATCGATTTATCGGAAAAGGATCAGTATCCTGAATTCCCGTGAACCGTCCATTAGTTAGAGAAGCGTTACACGTTATCGCTCATCGCCATTCGTAACCACAGTGACTTGAACCACGCTGTCCGAACAACCAACCGCTACCCATGGTGTATGTAAACCTTTTCTTCTCCTTTAGTTATTTTCAACCTCTTTGCCTGTGTGCTGCTGGCAATTGGCGGTATGCATGCCGTCACGTTGCTTCATCACGGCCTCCTGAAGTGCATTCTGCACGTTCCAATTAGCTTTTTCGATTCGACCCCACAGGTAATTTGGACCTTGCGTTTTGGTGTCATTCTGACGACCTCTCTTCTATTCCCAGCAAATGCTCCTCTTCCTTGTAGGGTCGGATAATGAATAGATTCTCGAATGATTTCGCCACGGCTGACAGTCATTTGATACGGTCGTTTCGCGCCATGACAACAACATTGTTCTCCTGCCTAATCACGTTCGCGCTGTGCGCTCTACCTAGCGCCTACATTCTCATTCCCCTCGTGTTCTTATTGGCTTTCTATTGTGTCATGCAGGTAAGCCGGCTATGATTGGTAGTTTGCTTTGTGCTTGGTGCTTGGTGCCTCTTAGTCTACGTCCATTTTCTGTCATTGGCAAAGTGAATTTCGATAAAAGAAAAAAATATCAGTTACTAATATGACTCCTGACGTTGACTGATTGCCCTGATAATCCTCGCTGACAATTATGTCTGTCTCTCATTAGACCGCACCAATTTGCTGAGTTGTCACGGGCCTGAAATTTGGCATTACAATTGACCTCAAGAAATATGACACGACGAAAATGCAGATTTCCGTTACACCAACAAACTTGTAGAACGTGGTCGCCAAACAGTTGTAGAACGTGGTCGCAGTAAGAATTGGCTGATTATGCGCATTCTCTTGTTCCACGTCACAGAACCTGTTTGTGACCACGAGCCGTCAGCTGAAGCGCCTCGACTCGGTGAGCAAGTCGCCGATCTTTTCGCACTTCGCCGAGACCCTCCTGGGTGTGGACAC